ATCGGAGGTCTCATTCGTGACAGCGCGAGTGGTCTAGTTATTAGGTCTGAAATAGAAATAGAAATAGAAACTTTTTTATTCAATGTAGATTATAAAAATACTTATTGAAGGTCACTTTTTTAATTTACCACTGGTTCGCAAAAAAAAAACCTCTGTCCTGGGAAGAACCAGCAAGAAACCCAGCGGGACTATTTTTTTTTTAATAATAGCTTACAATCATGTTTACAATCAACAACACAAGACAAATTAGAAATAGCTTGGTAGCGATCACCCTTCCCAGGGGTTATTATCATCTATAAATTCCTTAATATTATAATAACCCTTTTTTATACAAACTTAGTTTAATAACATTTTTGAACTTTGTGTATGACAAATTTTGTATATTTTCTGGGATTTTGTTGTAAAAGCGTATACATCGCCCCAAGAATGAATTACTGACTCGGTGTAGTCGAGTAACTGGTACTACCAGCTTGTGTCTGTTCCTAGTATTTACAGAATGAATATCACTTATTTTCGCAAAACTACTTTTTTTTTTGTGTACGTACAATACATTTTCATAAATGTATTGAGAGGCCAGAGTTAATATATTAATTTCTTTAAATTTTTGTCTCAGTGACTCTTTTGGTTTTAAATTATATATTGCTCTAATGGCCCTCTTCTGTAAAATAAATATAATTTCAGTGTCAGTCGCGTGTCCCCATAGCAAAATACCATACGACATAATGCTATGGAAATAACTGAAGTAAACTATTCTAGCTGTTTCAACACTGGTAAGAGTTCTAATCTTTTTATAGCATATGCTGCAGAACTAAGTCTGCTAGCTAGTTTTGATATATGAGGGAGCCATTGAAGCTTTGCGTCCAGTGTGATTCCAAGAAAAATGGTGGTATCAACAAGACTTAGTTCCTCCCCATTTAAAATTACATTAGTATTGACATGTTTAAATTAGGAGTTACGAATTTCATACATTTTGTTTTAGTTCCATTCAAATGCAAATTATTAACATTAAACCAATTGAATAACTTAGCTATAGCATTATTTACTTCGTCGTAATTTAATAACTGTCGTTTTAATTTGAAAATTAATGAAGTATCATCAGCAAATAATACTATATCATGGTTATCCCCTACTATGTAAGGTAAGTCATTAATATATACAAGAAACAGAAAGCGGCCAAGAATTGAGCCCTGAGGCACGCCCATTTGTACAATCGACCCGGAAGAACTCATACTATTAATAACAACTTTTTGTGTTCTGTCACTTAAATATGAAATAATTAATTTAAGAGCATCATTTCTTACACCGTAGTGTTGAAGTTTCCTGATTAATGTTTCATGGTGAACACAATCAAAGGCCTTGGATAGGTCACAGAACAAACCCAAAGCATCCTGTGAATTCTCCCATGCATTAAATATATTCAGCTCAACACCAGCATCAGTTGTCGAGCGACCCCTTGTGAAACCAAATTGATTTTTATGAAGTAATTTATTTACATTAAAAAAAATTAACAATTGATCAAGAATAATTTTTTCAAAAATTTTACTAAGTGTTGGCAGTACAGAAATAGGTCAGATTTAAATAAAGGTATTACTTTACTATGCTTCATTAAATCAGGAAACACACCAGATTTGATACTACTATTAAAAATAATAGATAGTTGAGGTGCGATTGTATCTATTATAGACGCAATAACTTCAACAGAAATCCCCCACAGATCGGCGGTTCTCTTAATATCAATAGTCTTAAAATATTTTACAATATCTTTTGATGAAACTTTATGAAATGTAAAATTCTTTGTACACACATTTACATTTTGTTTAAGTAATGATTCGGCGACGGTAGGAGAAGAATTCAGTGACTTAGTGGTTAAGATCGGAATATCAGTAAAATATTTCTCAAAAACCATTGCAACGTCCTGATCTGATTTAATTAATTTATTGTTAAAACTTAACTGGTACTTTGAATTGCGAGAGTTGACCTTACCAGTTTCACTATTAATTATACTCCATGTCATTTTAATTTTATTAGAAGCAGTCTTTATTTTGTTGCTTAAATACAAACACTTGGCTAAGGAGCACACTCTTTTAAATATTTTGGAATATTTTTTTACATATTCCCTAAATTCGACGCTAGGATTATATGACCTTTCATTGTAAAGTTCATATAACCTTTGTCTACTCTTATGGACTCCTACCGTCGCCCATTCATTAAATGCTTTACGATTATTCAAGGAGAGTGTTTTAGAAGTAAAAGTATTATTAAATTCATTGCAAATGAGCTTAAATAATTTTGCATACAAAAAAATTTGGATTATTTTTGTATGAAAGTAATGGAAGTTTTTTTACTATGTTACTTCTAAACTTCTCCAAGCGATGTGCATTTACTGGAACAAACACTACTTTTTTATCTACTTGCTTTTTGTGAACATAAGGTAATGAAACAAATTGTCCACAGTGATCAGAGCTCAATTTTTGAATAATACATTTATTGAACGGCTTAACATTTGTAAAAATGTTATCTATACATGTTGCACTAGATTCAGCAATACGTGTTGGCTCCAAAAATAAATTAAAAAGACCATAAGATTTAAACAATCATCTAAATTTAATATTAGTGGAGGAAGCTTCTAGGAGATTGATATTAAAGTCTCCACATATTACAACAGATTTATTCTGTTTATTAAGCTTAGCGAAAACTTCCTCATGCCATTTCTACAGTTCGCTCAACAGAGATGCTCACAATATCTTTACGTTCTTTATATGATAATAATTTACTAGCTAAAATTAAGGAGCCACCTCTTAAAATCGTTTCTCTATTGAAAGAACTGAGCACCTGGTGATTACTAAAGTTAAACATTAAATTATGAGCTTTTAACCAATGTTCAGTAATACATAAAATATGAATATTGTTGCTATTTAAAAACAATTCAATTTCTAGCTCTTTGCCTATCATGCTTTGTACAGGGTGGGCCATGAATTAGTTAACATTTGAAAAAATCGTATAAAAAAAACCATTTAACATATTTTAGAAATCGTTTATTTACGAGAAAGCTAATTAGTTGTAATTTATTTTTTAAAAATTATTTCGTCTAAATGACCACCGTTTCGGTTTTTGCACTCATCTAAGCGAGTCCTGAAGTTTTCGAATACTCTTCTGCAAAGAGACCGCGAGATCGCCGACATCTCTTCGATGATTTTTTCTTTAAGTTGACGCAGTGTATTCGGTTTATCAATGTAGACACGACTCTTTAAATAACCCCATAAAAAGAAGTCTGCTGGGGATAGATCTGGACTTCTGGGTGGCCATGGGATGTCACCCCGTCTGGATATCAGCTTTTCCGGAAACATGTCTTTGACCACCGGCAAGGACTCGTTCGATGTGTGACACGTGGCTCCATCTTGTTGAAACCACGTGTTACGATTATAGCCAGCAAATTCCAGTAGCATCGGTGCTAAGAACTCCCGTAACATTTTCACATACTCGGCAGAATTAACAGTAACTGAACGGCCTCGAGAATCTTCAAAAAAGTAAGGTCCGATGATTCCTTTTGCTGAAATTGCAGCCCATACAGTTACCTTAGGAGAGTGAAGTGGCCTCTCATGTTTAGCTTTAGGATTTTCGCTGCTCCAATACCTGCAATTCTGTTTGTTTACATGTCCATTTAGGTGGAAATGGGCTTCGTCAGAAAATAAGATGTTGTGAAAATTACTGAAACGAGTTAACATTGTTTCGGCATATGACTTACGCAAATTTAAATCATTAGGGTTTAGTTCTTGCACTAGCTGGATCTTATATGGATGTAATTTCAAATCTAATTTCAAAATACGGCGTAATGATGTGCGGGATAATCCTAATTCAGCCGAACGTTTGTGTGTCGATAAATCTGGATCACGTCGAACAGAAGCGGAAACTTGCTGCACGTTCTCTTCGCTCCGAGAAGTCCGTGGGCCGCCGGTTTGTTTCACATTTAGTGTAGATCCCGTCTCTTCGAACTTCTTCACCCATTTCTTTATTAAAGGAGCACTTGGACACTGACTTATGTCGTGTAAACCATATTCAACGCGAAATAAGCGTCTCACAGTAATGAGCGAAAAGTCGTTTAAATAAAACTGTTTCACGCAGTAAGCGCGTTGCGGCCCCGTGAAGCGATCCATTGCGACTAAATTTCCAAGAAGCGAGCTAGTGCCCCCGCCCACGCCCCGCGGTCCGCGCGGCAATAGTTTGCGCGGTAAGTTACATTTAAATGTTAACGAATTCTTGGCCCACCCTGTATATTCTGATGCACCAGGTGTAAACAAATTTTAATATCATTTTGTGGAGTTATACAATTGCAACTATTAACACTTTAACAGCCGACCGTTATAAAGGTGGCCGTTCCTGGTACGCCGGTGATTTTTGCCGATATTCTATGACTCATAAAATAAAAACTATTTGTGATATGTATATTATTCTTCTTTTATATGTACTATTGTTCTTTATATTTTAAAGGAAGAAGTAAAAAAACATTAAAAATAATGAAAAATATTTATGAAAAAAATTAACAAAAGAGGTCTACAAGCGAAAAAAAAAAAAACTCCAACATAAACATTCTTACATACTTGAGCTAACTAAAGAACGTAATTTTTTTTGTGTGTGGAACATTTTGAAGCAGGGATAGTAGCACAAAGGAACATTGCAGTCTGGGCAGTAATAAATGGTCTCTTTGCGCCCCCCTTTTTCCGGTTTCTTTTTTTGAAATGTCGGCACACACTTTGCAAACTCGTGCGACTTTCTCCTTTTTTTCCGAGCTTGGAATCCTCTCTATGAAGTGCCTACCGACGAGCCTCGTGCTTGTCCCGACAGCATGTGGACCATGGGAGGGTCCTGCTTCAGCATCTGATGCAGTTTCCACCAGTTGTTCCCCAGAGTCCATCAGAAACTGCGAGAATCGCAGGCGGCGTCGTTGTTCTCTGGATTTATTGTACAAAATGTAAGCGTTTACCAGAGAACGCGCTACTAAATTAAAAAACATTTTTTTTCCACCATTTCATACTTTTCCTATTCAACGAATAATAGGATACATATTGGTCATTGAGATTTACGCCAATTTTGTAGTGGTTATAGTCGAGGATGCAGTCTGGTTTCACCTTTTTGGTTACGCCCACACCTTTGGCTTTTGTATCCACCTCTGTCCAGCTAGCTCCGTGTTTCGTCGTGAGCATAAGTACATCACGCTTATCTTTCCATTTACAGGCAGTTAGATTGCCGCGGTGACAAAAAGCCATTTCAGCTTTTTCCAACGGTTGTTGTCGCCAAACCTGTGGCAGACCACGACGATTCGCCATCACTGTGCCTACAGTGCGAGTTTCTTTCAGCCAAAGCAAGTCCGCAATTGTCGGACTCGTAAAAAAACGATCCATATAAATGGTGTGCCATTTACCAAAATATGGTTCACTCAATTCAGCGATAATAGTCTCGACAGATTTTGAGTCGCCAACATAGGGAACCATGCGTAGTATGTAGCCCGTTTCCGCGTCACATAGCATGTAGACTTTCATACCGTATTTATCGGGCTTATCTTTATTGTAAACTCTGAAGTGCACTCGACCCCTAAATCCACAAGTGCCCTCATCAATCGTCAAGTTTTCATTGGGATAAAAACTGTTCTCACACAAAAAACACAGTTCATCGAAATACGGTCTGAGTTTGAAAAAAGCATCGTATTCTGGATCATTACGTGGTTTATAATTTGAGTTGTCGTTCAAATGAAGACAGCTGTAAATAGCTCTGAATCGGTTCCTATTCATGTGCTTTCTGGCGAATGAAGTTTCTATTATTTCACGAGTTGACCAGTAAGAATCAAAACTTTCTTTTTGAACGAGTGTCATATGAATCACTACGGAAAAAAATGTTTTCAGTTCCTGTTTCGTAACTGGTTTCCATTGATAAAGCATAGTGCCAGGTTTCAGGATACCTTGTCGCGTTTGTTTAGCCTTCATTTGAGCTGCATAACGATTTGTTTCAGTCTTAAGCAATTTCCAAAAAGAATCAGGAAAAAAAATTGAGAAACAATCGAACAGTGACGAATTTTCATCAATCGGGGCTAATACGCGAGATATTTCTTGAAATACTGGATTTTCCGGCGGCTGCTGCACTGCTTCGTATGACCATCCATTAGCTTCATCCATTTCCCTGATAGAAGTTGATGCATGTCTGCCGCTGCTGCAGCGGGTAGTCGAGCGCGCCCCTGACCGAACGCGTCCGCCGCGCGATCTCGTTCTGCCTCGAAGTGTAGGTCTCGAGCGACCTCGACTTCGACCCTGTTCTGGTTCAGATACGTTCTCTGACATGTCAGCATCATCATTTTCATGATCTTGGACCGAAACCACCTCATGTAAGTCTTGAATTACCTCTGGAGAGAGAAAACACCAATAAAAATCTAGACTTCGCAAAAAAGGTATATTCGAATAAAAATACAATAATAAAATACAATAATTTACCTTCAATTTGAATTTCCGGGTCTTCCTCAATGTCTGAGTCAACATCATTTACCAAAACATCAAAAATTTCTTTAGAATCGAGACGCCAACTACGTCGAGCGGAAGCCATTTCGCGCCAAAATGCAAGGACGTGCTCTCACGTTGGTGGCGTGGGAGCACTGGCGACGCGCGCTGAAAGATTGCTTGTCCTGCCTCCACCCCGCACCTCCCGTCGGTGATACATACATGTGGGTGTAGCTAAAGAGTCATTCTACACCGGGGTTATACGCCAATCACGCACCGGGAACGTAATTTTTAAACAGACGATAGGAAAGTCAAACCCGTACGGAGTACGTGATCGGCGTCCCGAGTTGATCGACACTGCCCGTACTCAGTACGTGTACGGCTGTTAAAGTGTTAAGGATTTGTAAGCTACATTCTAAATTATTTAAATTATTATAACTGCTAGAGATTACCTCTATTGTCTCATTTTCTAATTTAAATTACTTGGAACGGATTCCAAATTACATGCCAAATCATTATGCTGCTCAATAGGAGCAGATGTCTGGGGTATGAGAGGTATGAAGAGAATTCAAATCAGCGGCGTAGTATCAGGAATTGGGGAAGTTTATATTAATCATTTAGTAAGATTACATACTAAGTCGACGAATGAACGTGATTTTTCTATTGATGTTAATCCTTATGTAATGAAGTCGTTGACGCGTATACTACCTGCTAGGGAAATAAGAGGGTACAATTGGCCTTAACCTAAAAAATGTGAAGTTAGCTAATTCCAGCTTAACGTCCCGGTTCGGATTGATATCCTACTCGGAGCCGACGTTTTCGGCAAAATTATAGATTTAGGCCTGCTAAAGGGACCGGGCGGTGTAATTGCTCAACGCACACATCTAGACTGGATATTGACAGATGATACATACACAAATCCTACTGAAACAATAAATTATTAGCTTACATTTATGGGTGTAATTTATCTATAATATTTATGTATTTAGAAATATATAAGAATGTTTATCAGTTGTCTAGTACCCATAACACAAGCTCTGCTTAGCTTGGGACTAGATGGCGTTGTGTGCTAGTTGTGGAATATTATTATTATTTCACCAGGCTCGTAGATGAAGACAATAATTTTTTGAGAAAATTCTGGGAAATAGAATCGGAAGAATACATAAGCAAGAAAGCATGGACAAAGGAAGTAAAAAAATGTGAAAGACAAGATACAATGACAAGATATACATCTAGAAGGTATATAGTCCATTTACCTTTAAAGCATATTATTGAAGAAACCGTGAAGGCATGGGGCGAAACTAAATATCTAGCCATCAAACGATTTAATGAGTTGGAAAGGATGTTTACCAAACATGAAGACTTGAGAACAGAGTATAAGAATGTGATACATGAGTACTTAAAGATAGGTCATATGAAGAAAACTGAAAAGGAAGAGGAAACAATTTACTTACCCCATGATGCTGTCGTAAGAAAGGATAAGGCACTTACAAAGGTAAGAGTACTCTTCGACCCCTCAGTTGAGTGTTCGAATAGTCTCTCCTTAAACGAAGCCATGTTGATTGGCCCCACTTTACAACCTAAACTTCGTGCTCTTATTACTCGCTGGAGGTCTCACAAAGTTTGTGTTGTCGGTGATATAATAAAAATGTATCGTCAAGTAAGGATGACTAACAAACACACAAATTTACAACGTATTGTTTGGCGCGATGATATATCTGGAAATATAGAAAGTTATAAATTTTTTACCGTAACTTTTGGAACCGCTGCAGCACCATACCTTGCTGTACGGTCTATACACCAGCTGGCTGATGATGAAGTTGACAGATATCCCCGAGGATCTGCTGTTGCTAAGAATTCGTTCTACATGGATGATTTAATGACTGGGCATGAAGATCTATCAGAAATCAAAGAAATTTGCGATAAACCTAAGAATCTGTTAAAGAAAGGCGGTTTTAAAATGCAGAAGTGATCTAGCAACTATGATGAGTTGCTGAGGTTTCTGTAAGATGATAAAGACAATCCGGAAACTGTGGACAGTATAGAAATAAAATTAGATAAGGTGATAAAAATACTTGGTCTAACATGGGACAGAAAAAGGGATACGTTCAAGGTTACAGTCAATATCCCGGAAACCAGGAAACCTGTAACAAAAAGGTTAATATTATCAGATGTGGCCAGGCTCTTTGATCCATTTGTCTGGCTCACTCCAGTGGTTACCACAGCTAAAATTATGATACAGAGACTGTGATTAAGTAATCTTGGTTGGGATGATGAACTTCCTTCTGAGCTAGTAGAGGAATGGCTTAGTTACATAAAAGCACTTCAAAAACTGCAAGGCATTGAAGTCCCGCGCTGGATTAAAACAACACCACGCTATTAAGAATTGCAATTGCATGGATTCGCAGATGCCTCTTCTGTTGCGTATGCAGCAGTGGTCTATATCAAGATTTTGGATGAAGATGACAGGGTCCACGTCACAAAGGTGGTATCTAAAACTAAGGTAGCAACATTGTTTTTACGCTGCAGTGTTTTTGGCTAAGATATTGCACGAGTTATCCGGTCCAGTTTTTGTTGGCAATAGAGTGTCGAACATAATTCAGTTGGATAGATAATGACAGGTGGTATCATGTTCAATCAACCGACAATCCCGCTGACCTCGAGTCAATAGGGGTAGTGCCAAATGAAATGGTAAACAATGGCATGTGGTGGGCTGGACCGGAGTGGTTAAAAAATAAGGGAATGGATTTAACAAAGGACTATATTCCTCAAACATACCTAGAGATGAATATGATGATATGATGATAATATAATGATGATAAAAGATTTTTTTAATGTAATATTAAAGGAGAAACCAGTTTGGGAACGATTTTCATCTATGTTACAAAAGAAAAGAGTTCTTGCATGGTGTTTACGATTTCTACATAATAAAGAGAAAAAATAAACGTATTTAACTACGGAAGAAATGAATGAAGTTGAAGAAAAATTTATAAAATACTACCAGTACTTAGTATACGAAGATGAAATTGAAGATCTTAATAGAAAGGGAAAGATAAAAGGTAGAAGTTCTTTGATAAGTCTCACACCTTTCTTAGACAAAAGGGAGCTTCTTAGAGTAGAAGGGCGACTATCTAATGCTAATATAAACGAGAATGCTAAACATCCTATTATAATACCAAAAAAGCAGCATATTACTAAGCTTATAATTAACGAAGCCCACATAAGATTGCATGGAGGTTTTTTTCAGATGCTTACATTTTTTATTTACGTATAATGGTCGCACCTGCCAACAATTGTCCTTGGCACCCAGGGTTGACTGGCAGAGAATGCCACAAGGCATTAAGTCCGCCCTATGTACCCTTTAGCTTAAGGTGTTACGTGTAAGTTTTTAAATAAAAAAATAAGAAAATAAATCCCTAGTAAGTACTGAGTAGTTAGTCTGAAGTCGGTTCTCAGAGCAATCCGTAACTGTAAGGTGCGTATAATTGACAAGGCAAAAATTAAGCAGCAGCTGATGGGCCAATTACCATCTGCAAAAGTGATTCCAAATCGTGCTTTCTTCAACAGTGGAGTTGATTTTTCCGGATCTGTGCAATTGCAAACCTCAAAGGGCCGTGGTTACAAGTCAACATCGGGCTATATTTGTGTCTTTGTTTGTATGTCTACGCGAGCTATACATCTCGAAGCTGTTACGGATTTAACGTCACATGCCTTTATTTCAGAATTCAGGAGATTCGTTATAGGAACTTGTGGAGTGACAACGCCACCAACATTGTGGGAGCCGCAAGGGAATTAAAGTGTATGTTTGAACAGGGCAAGGCTAATCTGGCGAGGGAGGTAGCTGAGCTCCTATCAAATGATGTTACAACATGGCACTTCATTCCGCCGAAGGCACCCAATTTTGGTGGGCTATGGGAGGCAGGCGTTCGGTCGGTCAAGAAACATTTGTCGAGAATAAGCGGAACTACAAAGCTGACCTATGAGGAAAATATATATAGAAGCCTGTCTTAACTCGAGACCTATCTGTCATTCCGAAAATACTAGTGAAACACTAGATCCACTTACCCCAGGTCATTTTCTCATTGGTAAGCCAATAATTAATATACCAGACATAAATTATGAGCACAAAAGCGTAAGTATATTATCTAGATGGCAATTCTTACGAAACAGGATGCAAGATTTTTGGCGGAGATAGAAATCTGAATATCTCCACTCATTACAGGAACAGGCATAAATGGCAAGACACGGTGCCGTCTCCATGTGTTGGAGATATCGTAATCATTGAGGAAGATGATCTCCCACCGGCGAAATGGTTATTAGGAAAAATTACACCCTGGCGCTGATCAACTCGTCCGCGTGGCAACAGTGCAATGCAAGGGAGATAACATTCTTAAGAGACCATTTTCTAAGTTAATATTACTTCCAATGAAACCGAATGATGAACAACAAAGTCAATGCTGAGAGTTATACCTAATAGTGGTCGGTTAATTTCACATTTTTCTATAACATAATTTGTAAGTAAATTAGAATTTCGATATTTTTAATGATATTTCATTACATTATACCACTAAAATCTCTATATAAAATAACAAAAAGTCATTAAAAAATGTAAATGATAAAATACGAATTTGCGTCTTCCTTTAAGTTTCAATGTATCATGCTAATAACAATAAGCCACAGATGACTTTGTACATGAACAATGTTGTAATGGTAATGGGAACACTTTTGTTATAGCCTATTTTAAGTTTAAATTTTTAATCTCTTAGCCTTAACCTATTTTTCGATTCAAGATTGACTTATAAATATTATTCCTTCATGCATATTATTTGGAGTATAAGTGCCGAAATGTTAAATTTATTTATAAAGGTATTGTTACATAGAGATACAGTCCACGTTTGGAAATAAAAAAGATAAATAAAAGGAAATAATTTAAAATTATCATTGAAAAATTATATTTATGATTTATTGTTTGTTCTTTTTCTACTTCATAATATATATATACTTGATCACAAGATTGTTAAAATAAATACTTTATGGTGCCTAGTAATTCGATATTTTACAAATAATAGGAATTTTGTGCAAGTGCTCCCGTTGCATACATGTGTT